TCGTGTCATTAAAGTGGTTGTAAACCCTTACATATACCCAGTGAAGTGACTGGCCTAATAAATAGAGATGAAACATATCCTCCTACACAGTTGTATCTGTCTGTCTGCAGCCTTCTCTTATCTACATGCGTTCAAAGTGCTGAATTTTAAAACTTGACCAAGAGTTCAGGAAAAAAAGGGGCGGAGAGCTGAAGTTACACTCTGTAGAGCTCAGTGAGGTTATTTCTGATAGCTGATTGGAAGGAAGAGAAAAATCCCCCCTCCATACAGCTCACAGGAACAGAGCTGAAACTGTCAAATTGCTAGAAGCCCCTCCCCTGTCACCATTTTTTTCTTGGTGTCAGGAAAACTATTCACAAGTGGCTGATAGCAGAGAAACAAAGCAACAGATAGAAAAGATACTCAGTGCTCTTAATTGAGACAGGTACACACTATAGAGGGATATGCTTTGTTCATATTTCATGTCTTAGGTTTACAACCACTTTAAGGTCTGAGATCCATCAATGGCAAAAACTACAACTCTGCTACCATAGTAAAGGAGCTCACAGAGCAGGAGCAGGGAAGTGACATCACTTCAGTTGTAAGCCTGCCATAGAGAAGGTTTATACAGATTCTGGGACTAGGATACAGAGCCTGTGCATGGTACCTGCAGTGCACCGATCACAAAAGCAATGCTCTGCAGGCCCTAATTTGTAAAAGTAGTCAATGTATATTGATCATAAGATCAGTGTTGCTGCATTTACTACTTGTGGACTGTCACTTTAACCAAAGTAACCCACAGCGATCAGTCTGAATTCTCTTTATGCCCAAAAACCAATTCAAGATGCTTTTTTTTGGGTGCTATGGGTAATACAATTATAACTTTGTTACTTCCACTTTCTAGTGAATAAGGTTGTAAGTGTACCTTTAATTTATATGTAAACCTTCACCTTGTAAAGCAACCCATTCAGTTTAAAATATAAATAAAAGGCAAAACATTTGTGTTTACATATAAAAACATTATAAGTACCTTTTTTGCACATTTTTATAAGTGATCACACTCCTTCTGTTCTCAGCTGCAGAATGAGCTCAGGGAGGAGAAACAGCATTACACTGATCTTCAAAGTGAATGGCTGTGCAGGGTGAGGCGTGTGTGTGTGTGTGTGGAGGGGGGGGGGGGGGGGGTGTCAACACAACTCTGATCATTGGAGGAGAGCAGGCTGAGTTCCCAGAACACTGACCATGATGTTCTATCATGCCTAGTGTGGTCACTTTTTAATAGGAAAGCCGAGGGATTGGCAAAGAGAACGGGATACTTTTTCACACAAGTCCATGGTACAGTAGGCACATATCGGGAATATTAAATGTTGGGTTTGCATATTATTTAACAAACCTTACCTTTTTAGATTTAAGCCTAAGTGGATGACATTTAGCTTGCTAAATCAATATGTATTAGTCCTCATGCACAATGGACGTTTTTACAGCAGCTGTTTTTGGCTTTTGACGTTTTTTCTACAGCCAGTAGACTCCCCAGCATGTTATCCTATGTGTCCATGCACACACAGACTGTAATCAACATTTTTTGGCTGGAAAAAACCCCCCAGGACTAGTGGGTTCCTAGAGGAGTATTTTTAGCTGTAAAAACGCTCTGAGGCTGAAAAATGCGGCAAAATGCAGTAAAACACGGTAAATAGCGGCAAACCAGTGTTTTGGACGTTTTATTGACTAAGAAATACATGTTTTTTTGGTAAGAAAAACTCTAAAAACCGCATACATGAACATGAAAAAACGTGGCAAAACGCCACTAAACTCTAAAAAAACTCATGTTTTTTAACGTGACTTTACACAGCTAAGGTTACCAGTGTTATTAACCATTAGCCGTCCGGCCAATGGCCGTTTGGCAGCTTCAGAAGTGCTTCGGCAGTTTGCGACCCTGCAGAGCCGCGCAGCGGGGCGATCTGTCACCGGCCGTGTACCTCGGACACGGCCGATGACAGATCTCAGTACCGGCCCCCGTTGCTGGTACCATGTGACCTGCTGTGACCAATCACAGCAGGTCACATGACAGTTGTATACAATGGATGGCTTCATTCATGCCATCCATTGTATACTACTGCCTAGCTGTGAATGGTCACAGCTAATCACATGCACATGTCATGTGATTAGCTGTGACCAAATCACAGCTAAGCACAAAAAAAAACCCCAAAACTATACTATGGTAACATTGTACTACTTTGGTCATAGTAAAATATGAAAAAAAATCTTAAAAAAAAAAATTAAAAAATGTAATAAAAAATTAAAAATAAATAAAAAAAAAAAAAAAAAAATATATATTTTTTTTCATACTGTCACCAGTCAGTGTCCCTGTTCACCGCCATGCCAGTTATATGATGATGCTGTACTGCACTGGTGACAGTATGTGAAAAAAAATAGTGAAAATAATTTTTTTAATTTTTTAATTTTCCGAAAAATTATGACAAAAAAAATACAACTTCAAAAAACTCGCCATTCCTCTTATGAAGTACGTCGGACTGTCTACTCTGCAAAAAGGGGTCATTTGGGGGATATCTGTACTGTTCTGACATTCTTGGACCTCAAGAAATTAGATTGGCTGTCAGTACTTCAGGATTAATCATTTTCAGATCTATACCATAGTTTGTGAACTCTATAACTTTCCTACAGACTAAATAATACATCCTAATTTGGGTTATTTTCACCAAAGACATGTAGCAGAATACATCTCGGCCTAAATTTATGAAGAACAATTATTTATTTGTAAACTTTTATATAACAGAAACAAAGAAAAACTTGGTTTTTTTTGGTCTTTTTTTGTTAATTTAGCAAAAAATAAAAACCCCAGCGGTGATTAAATACCAGCAAAAGAAAGCTCTAGTTGTGTGAAGAAAACGATAAAATTTTAGTTTGGGTACAATGTTGTATGACCGCGCAATTGTCATTCAAAGTGTGAGAGCGCTGAAACCTGAAAAATGGCCTGGGCAGGAAGGTGTAAAATTGCACGGTATTGAAATGGTTAAAACGCCCCGTGTGCATGGAGCCCTATAAACAATTATTTGTTTTGCAATGTAATATTTTCACTAAAGGTGACAATGCAAGAGCACAATTGGGAGAAAGAAGATAAAACGTAGTAACCCTGAGTGAAAGCAAGAATTTAATTAAACCAAAAAAATTGTTTATGATACATAGGGGTGGATGTACTTTGCAAGTGTAGTTTCTCCAGAGCTTAGTAAATGAGGTGAAGCTTCACTTTACAAACAATACTCAATCACCTGCAAGAAAAATAAAAACAAACAGCATTTTTTACTTGCATATGATTGGATGATGGAAGTCAGCAGAGCTTCCCCTCATTTAATAAGCTCTGGAAAAAGTGTACTTGCAAAGTGCTCAGTCTATGTGCCTGTAGTAAATCAACCCCATAGTGATTTAGCAAACTAAATATCATCCATTTAGGGGTTATATCTACATTAAAGAAGGTAAATGAAAGCTAAAAATTTAAAATGCTTTAAGAGTTTAGTCATTTGGTTTACAGACACTCATACATATCAAGCAATTTTGCACATATATCATTTGTTTTTTCCATTTTCCTGCTGCCCTCTATATAATCAACAACTATTCTGATAATTCAAATTTCCTACCTGATGGCTAACAAGCTAACTGTAGGCATATTAACCAATGTAGTTATATCAAAGCAAGTATGCCCAACATTCCTCTAGAATAGGTCGCCGTGCCCCAAACTCCTGCAGAGTCGATCAAGAAGTAAGCATACCTCCAGGGATTGAGGGATTTCTGGGATGCCTCGCTTTACACTATGGAAATGCAATCTGTCTGTCTAAGGATTTCCTTGTACAAGTTAACTGTTTCCAGTGCTCTTTCTGGACTACAGAATTATTGATTCTTGAACTTGAAACTTGAAACTTGAACTTGAAGGTAAAAAAATAACAGTTGTTATTAAAAAAAAAAGTTATTTTAGATAAATAATTTTTGTAGCAAAATTATACTTTCCCCATTAGTGAATGTTCACCAAGGCCCCTTTTACACGAACGGTCGGGTCCGCCGGTCCGTTTTTCAGGCACCGGACCCTCCATTCTCCTCTATGGGTAGCCTGATTTAACCAGACTTCTGTCTGTTTACACTCAGCTACCTCCGATACAATCTGGCAAAAACAAAGGAAAGGGTGATCCATTCCCCTCCATCTGATCTGATCAGATCAGAGGGCAGTCTGGTGTAAACGGACAACTGGTCTGTTTACATCTGGCTGCCCATAGAGCAGAGCGGGCTGTGTCCGTGTTCACTTTGCATAAGCAGAGCAGACACGGATCTGTCGTCTGCCCGCTCCGCTCAGCTCAGCACGGGATCAGCGGATGGATCTGGCCCATCTGAAAGGGCCATAAGCAGAAACTCAATTATGCTCACGGAAGCTGAAAGTAGGTTTTTTTTTATCTTTTTGACCATCCCACTAATATCTTTTGAGCTGTAGATATTATTTTTATTGGCAGGGGTTCCCTGAGATTGAAAAGTCATTAAAAGGGTTTCTCAGTGTTAAAAAGGTTGAGAAAGACGGGACTAGCGGAAAATCCAGCTAAAGTGATGTGTGTGCATTACATTTTCCAAGTCACCTATACACATACCTGTGGCCATTTTGCCTTCAACCTTTCTGCTTCGAATTTGGCAACTTCTTTCCGATCATGAAAGGATACCAGCAGCTTCCATAAACACAACACCACAAAGCCAATTAACACAATGGCGATAGAGACACCCATTAGAATCATGGGAATATTTGGAGGCTCAGGGCAATCTAGAGTTAGAAATGAAAAAAAATACATTAGAAAACACCCTGGAAATCTCAGAATGTATACTTTATAGAATGTATTACGTTTAACATCTCATTTAGTCTTCTGTAAAAAAAACTGCAGGACAAAAATGTCAAAAAACTGGCAAAGGTGTGGACAGTTTAAAGTGTATACTTGAAAATACCAAATTTTTGTATGCATGCCTATATATATATATATATATATATATATATATGTATATACACCCTAAATTGCCAAAAGTATTGGGACTCCTCTCCAAATCATTGGATTCAGGTGTTCCAATCACCTCCATGGCCACAGATGTATAAAATCAAACACCTAGGCATGCAGACTGCTTCTACAAACATTTGTGAAAGAATGGGTTGCTCTCAGCTCAGTGAATGCAAGCGTGGTACTGTGATAGGTTGCCACCTGTGCAATAAATCCATCTGTGACATTTCCTTGCTACTAAATATTCCACGGTCAGCTGTTAGTGGTATTATAACAAAGTGGAAGCAACTGGGAACAGCAGCAACTCAGCCACGAAGTGGTAGGCCACGTAAAATGACAGAGCGGGGTCAGTGCATGCTGAAGCGCACAGTACACAGAACTGTCTGCAGAGTCAATAGCTAAAGACCTCCAAACTTTGTGTGGCTTTCAGATTAGCACGAGAGCTTTGTGAGATGGGGAAACAGCTCGCATTGTTTGAACACTGATTGTGTGGAGTAAATTAAACGTTCTGGAGTGACATTCTGTGGTTTAGCCACAAGATTTCACTGTTTTTCTAACACAGTCTCAGACTGCATAGATATTTCAATATTCAATAAGAGGTGAGGTTTTCACATGGAGTTTTAGTGAACAGGAAGAGGAGATTGCAGCCATGTTTTGGACGATGCTGAATGAAGGGGCCGTGTGAGCTGAGAATCCGATGACATCCAAGTGTGAGTGCATCCCTCAGTAACCAGAGCTGCGGCCAAGTGAAGCTGATCATGTCCAAGACCCTGATCCTGTTCAGAGAAAGGAAGATTGCTGCCAGGAATGCTGATGAGAACAGAAGAACAACGCAACATATACTGCCATATCGCATGCTTGTTGGAGAGATATTTGTTCTGTTCAGAGTCACCAGCAAAGCAGACCCGGGTCGGTAAGATCGTGCACGCACCTCATTTCAGTGTTTGCGCCTATAGACAGACCAGGCCTATAGCTAGTTAGTTAGGGTCTCTGTTTGTGTCAGGCCACAAGTGTTGTTACTGATCATTGGAAGGACTCCATAACTTAAAGTGACATTTCACATTGGAGAGCTGATAAAATCCCAGAAACTCAAGCCAGACTGGCGTTCTGCTCAGAAGGAATACTCAGGCACGTGCTACAGGACCAGTTATGGGAGAGGGAATACTGTAGATTTGTGTAGGATTGTAAGCTGTTGTGCTGCACCGCAGGCTAGCCCATACCGTACACCCATACACTGATTCCTGCTCTTTTTAGGGTAATAACAGGTAAGCTTAGTTGTGCCCGCCAGTAGGTAAATTACTACACTTTCTACCTTCACCCATCAGAAGGCGCCATGCTGTGCAGCACAAGGGTCTCAGCTTTTGGGCTGGGTGTATGTAAATTTATTGTATGTTCCCAGCATTTGTGTTTATTTGCCACATCTAAGTAAAATTCTGTTGTGGCAAAAGCTGGTGTTGGGGTTGCTTTCCTCGTTCGTGACTTCACTGTATCCTGGGGAGCCCACCCCGGTACACGGCTTACAGCTTCATGGAATGGGTTTCCATGGCCAAGCAGCTGCATCTAAGCCTTACATTACCAAGTACAATGCAAAGCGTCGGATGCAGTGGTGTAAAGCACGCCACCACTGGACTCTAGAGCAGTGGAGACATGTTCTCTGGAGTGACAAATTACGCTTCTCTGTCTTGCAATCCAATGGACGTGTCTAGGTTTGGGGGTTTTCAGGAGAACAGTACTTCCCTGACTGCATTGTGCCAAGTGTAAAGTTTGGTGAAGGGGGATTGTGGTGGGGGGTTGTTTTTCAGGGGTTGGGCTTGGCCCCTTAGTTCCAGTGAAGGGAACTCTTAAGGCATCAGCATACCAAGACATTTTGGACAATTTCATGCTCCTAACTTTGTGGGAACAGTTTGGGGATGGCACCTTCCTGTTCCAACATGACTGCACACCAGTGCATAAAGCAAGGTCCATAAAGACGTGAATGAGCGAGTTTGGGGTGGAGGAACTTGACTGGCCTGCACAGAGTCCTGACCTCAACCCGATAGAACACCTTTGGGATGAATTAGTGTGGAGATTGCGAGGCAGGCCTTCTCGTCAGACATCAGTGCCTGACCTCACAAATGTCCTTCTGGAAGAATGGTCAAACATTCCCATAGACACACTCCTAAACCTTGTGGACAGCCTTCCCAGAAGAGTTGAAGCTGTTATAGCTGCAAAGGGTGGGCCAACTCAATATTGAACCCTACAGACTAAGACTGGGATGCCATTAAAGTCCATGTGTGTGTAAAGGCAGGCCGACCAATACTTTTGGCAATATAGTGTATATATATATATGTATTATGGGTCTTTATAGATGTTATTTTTTGAATATGTATACAATGTGATTATATATATATATATATATATTTTATATTATATATATATATATATATATATATATATATGCATTTTTGGATACTCACAATCCATATACTCCTGAAGAAGAGAACAATGCTCATGCAAACACAGAGAAATCTCCCCAGTATCAGCGATGTAACATCTGTACACAATCATTGATTAATATACTGCAACTGGGTTGGGTTAGACCAAAGTGGCTATGGATGGTAAGTGCATTGCTGTAGCGCTTCTATACCAGCCTCAACCATTTTGGATTTTTATGATTTTATATGTCGTATATATTTATGTAATATGGTTTCAATGTGTTATATGAATTTGTGTCAAATGCCATTTAAAGTACCTGAAAAGTCCCACTTACAAATTTTAGCGTGATTCAGGGCCTTGTATTGAACTGTATTGTTGCTGTATTGCCTCCCGTTATATTGTAAAGCGCTGAGCAAACTGTTGGCGCTATATAAATCCTGTATAATAATATTAATATGAATAATGGTACATTGCCATCAGAGGACAACTCATAGATAGCATAGTTATTTTATAAGTTAAACAATTTAAATTGGACGTACAGCCAAAACTACTCTTTTAGTTTTAAATAGATGGGAGAAGGACTAGAACCCCTGCTTGGTTTATACTATTATTCCGTGCTCCTTACAAGAGATTTCTCAAAACGTATGGTCACAGTGACCATTTCACTATAGAGGAAAAACCTAACAGGGACACAGACAGCAATAACAAGTTGACAGAAGTTCTAACCTTCCCTACATTGCTAAAAAATGTTTTGGATGGACATACACTTTAAAGTTGAAGTTTATTTAAAAAAAAGAAAAAAAATGTTTCTCTATAGCTTTAGTTACATTACTTAGTTACCTATAATGAGGTATATCCCACAATGCGCATACTGCTGGATTCTGTAACAATTTCCACTGCAGGGCTGCCCTGTTCTCTTCCAGCTGCTGAACACCTAGCAATGTGGGGGTTAACAGCTTCAGGTCTCCAGGCTCAGCTGCACTAAAGATGATCTGAAGGGGATGCTCCCTGTCCTGTCCTCACTGCTATTAAAAGTCCTTTTACTGATTATGCAGCCTATTACACAATAAGTGAATGGGGGAGAGTCTGATCAGTCACAAGATTTGCTTCCCATAGAAGAGGACAGGGCAGTCCTGCTGTGAACAATTCTACAGAATCCAGCAGCCTGCACATCAAGGGACATCCTTCATTACCGGTAAGTGTTGTAACTAAAAGTGTAAAGAAAAAATGTTTTTTAGCTAAACATCAGCTTTAAAACAATGCAATTTTCTGTTGCTGTAGCCTGAAAGAACAAAACTGTAAATTTAAAGTAATGTCTGAGAAAATCTTTGCAGAATTCTGACTAAATAATAGTTGAGGGACCTTTCTGCAACCACTAGATGTCAGTGTGAGCTAAGCGCTGCTCCGCATTCACATTGCAGGCTGGAGGATATTAAACATTTGTTATCAGACAAAACAAGGCACTGAGATATAAATTCACAGACAAATCCTCTTTCATGTAGCAAACGGGATAAACATCTGAATGGCTTTATTGTGACTATTAACGTCTGGCATAAACTACCATTGATTAGAGATGAACAAAACTGACAGCTTTCATTCCTTTAAAATTTAGTCGAATATCAGAAGATTGCAATGCATGTGTTTTCATTTTTTTTTTTCAGGATACTGTGGGGTTTATTTACTAAAGCCTGGAGAGTGTGAAATCAGGCTTGCTTCTGCATAGAAACTAATCAGCTTCTAACCTCAGCTTGTTCAATTAAGTTTTGACAATAAAACCTGGAAGGTAATTGATTTCTATGAAGAATGAGCCTAATTTTGCACTTTCCAGCTTTAGGAAATAAACCCAAGTGTGCTTTATATGACTCCTTAGGGCAGTGGTCACCAAACTGCAGCCCAGGGGCCAAAGCTGGACCTTTCCTTGCTTCTATCTGGCCCTTGGGGCATTATTCCCGTCAGCAACAGTGGGGCATATTTCCTGCCACTGACTATGGGGCATTATTTCTCTCACTGACACCAACGATGGGATGCTATTCCTCCCACTGAAACCAATGATGGTGCGCCATTGCTCCCTTTGCTACCAACTATGGGGCCCTATTACTGACACTAACAATGGAACACTATTCCTCCCACTGACACCAATGATGGGGCACTATTCCTCCCACTGACCCCAATGGTGAGGCACTATTCCTCCCACTGACACCAATGATGGGGCACTATTCCTTCCACTGACACCAATGATGAAGCGCTATTTCTCCCACTGACACCAATGATGAAGCGCTATTCCACCCACTGATACCAATTATGGGGCACCATTCCTCCCATTAATACAAATGATGGGGCACTATTACTCCATCTAATACCAAAGATGGGGCACCATTCCTCCCACTAATGCCAATGATGGGGCACTATTATTCCCACCAATATCAATGATGGGGCACCATCCCTCCCACTAATGCCAATGATGGGGCACTATTACTCCCCCTAATACTTATGATGGGGCACCATTCCTCTCCCTAACACCAATTCTGGAGCACCATTCCTCCCACTAATATCAATGATGGGGCACCATTCCTCCCACTAATGCCAATGATGGGGCACTATTACTCCCTTAATACCAATGATGGGGCACTATTACTCCCCCTAATACCAATGATGAGACACCATTCCTCCCACTAATATCAATGATGGGGCACCATTCCTCCCACTAATGCCAATAATGGGGCACTATTACTCCCTTAATACCAATGATGGGGTACTATTACTCCCCCTAATACCAATGATGGGACACCATTCCTCCCCCTAACACCAATTCTGGGGCACCATTCCTCCCACTAATACCAATGATGGGGCATTGTTTACTCCCACTGATGCCATTACATTTTCTGTTTCCTCTGGCCACAGTCTTGCCCCCCTAAAGATTGAAGAACAGTAAACTGGCCCTTTGTTTTGAAAGCTTGGAGACCCCTTCCTTAGGGTTACCAAAGTTCATTTTATCTATCTTGAACCTATCCTTTTTGACAAAAACAGCCCCTTATTAACCCCATTATTTAACAGTGAAAAAGAAAAGTTAAATATAATATTTAAGGTAACAATAAATGAATAATAAATATACAAGAAAAAACCCAAATATGAAAAGCATTAAAGTGACACTAAAGCTTGTTTTTTTTTTTTCTAAAATAACAAAATGTCTATACATACCTGCACTGTGTAGTGATTTTGTAAGAGCAGCCCTGATCCTCTTCTTTGCTGGTCCCCTCCAGCACTCCCCCTCCTTGAGTAGTGCCCCCAGAGAAAGCTGCTCACCCTGGGGGTACCTCTGCGTGCTCGTCACCAAGCTGCTGTTCTATGCGTCCATAAGACACATAGAGCTGCGACTTGGCCCTGCCCCCACTCTCTCCTCATTGGCTCACTGGCTGTGATTGACACCAGTGGGAGCCCATGGGCTCCCATTGCTGTTTCAGGCAATGAGGAGGAAGAGTCCCCAGACAGCAGAGGCTGTCAAGAACATCACTGGTTCGAAAGGGGGCTCGGGTAAGGACTGGGGGGGGGGGTCTGCTGCACACAAGAAGGTTTTTTACCTTCATGCATAGAATGCATGAAAGTAAAAACCTTGAGATTAACTAAACTACTTAAACAAAAAACCCAGAATCCCCTCTAAATAAAGAAAAGACAGAGATTTTCTTTTCAAGAAAATGTCACCAGCACAATTAAGCTATTTTACTGCATCAAATGTGTCAAAGTTTGTCAAAATCTGTCTGCCTGTTCATCTCTATTATTGATAAAATAACCTTTGAGAAAGAATAGCTACCAAAATGTCTCATGTAAAAAATATCTGAATTTAACATATAACCAAAGATAACACATTTTTATTTAGGAGTGCAGAGGGATTAGAACACCTGTGAGGTCTTTATTGCTGTCTGTGTCCCCATTAGGGAGATTCACCCTATTTGTCATGTTTACTGATTTCACTGAAAGTGAAAGAAAATCCCAAATTTTGAGTTATCCCTAGAATAGTAATAGAGGGGAAATCTTTCAATGGGGACACTAATTCTGGTGACACCGGTGACAACTTTGTGTTTTGGAATAACCAGGTTACTTGTTAGGTGTTCCTTGGTAAATCCATCACAGTGGGGTGTGTCAATTTAATGGTCTTGGTTGTTTAAGTTCATGTTTTGTTTTGATATGTATCAGTTACTGAAGAGGGAGCAATGTATGCTATGAAATATGTTTAGTTTTATGTATTTTAATACATTTGTTTATCTTACATTATAGTGATCCACCTTCTTACTCTGCACTGTCTGGACTCCCATCAACCAACAGCATTATTGTTGATCATGGTACACCTAACCTTGGGATGTGTTGTTGCAGACCTCTTGAAAGTCAACTGTGGATTCCTGCTTTTTGTAATCTTGCCATCGGGACACTAATTG